TGCCGCTTCCCAGAAGCCTCCATAATTACTTGCTCTATGAAGACGTTTTGCGGATGAACGAAGTTCCGGATCTGGCAGTTATTCAAGATGGAGATATCAGCAAATCTTCTTAACACAGCTCATGCCTTACTCTGAAAACCACCAAGACAGAGAGCCATGGAGTGCAGAGTCTTCATGATTTTACTGTCAGAAATGATGATTTTTGTTTCAATTTTAGGTTTTTGATGAGGCAGTAGTTTGATGCAAATGTTTATAACTGGGTAAAAAAAAAAGTATTGTAAACTTCACTTATGTTACTTTATTGCAGTTTTATCACCAGTACATTTGGTGTTGTAATATTCATTTACCTATGATGTAATATTATCTATGTTGTAATATTCATTTCTGCTTTATTCTGATAATGCACTGTGGTGCTGCTTGTAGTGCTAAACATGGCGTATTTCCACCTGCGATTCTGTGTTTTTCTACGGCTAGGCGCTTAGAATGGAATGCATGAAACTTCACTGGAAGTGCACACACAGTGGGGTTGAAAGCTGTTATTTTATTTGAGGTTGAATATCTCTTATGTCTTTAAAAGCATTATTTTATATTCCATTCTCATCTCTTCATTCAGTCACTTTTATGAAGAATTGATATTTATTGGCTTTTCACAGGTAAACTCAGGGGAGAATTTTTTAAAAAAGAATATAGAAAATGAGTTATTTTGCTGCCTTTTTTTTGTTTCCCCTCCAGTTCCTTGATACTCACTTTGGCTATAAAAGACTCCATTTCTGCAAAGGCAAGAACAGACCTAACCTCAAAGGTATGCTTAGGTGAAAAAAAGCTAGGTTGTTATTGAGATAAATGAACACTTTGCCTCATTTAGAATACTAATCAGGAGACTGTGAGGGGCGTTTCTGTAGTACCATCTTAAAAGAAAGAAAGGCATGTATTCCTGAGTCACTTAGTATCAAATAAAAACATGCAAGCTCCATTCGGCCTCCAAATCAGAGGGCAGATTTGATCCTATGAAGCAATGATTGCCAGTTCTATTAATTTTATAGTGTTTTTTCTTTTTATTATCTAGAGAAGTTACCAAATAGTCCATGAAATTTTTAGACCTTAGAGTCCTAGGTTAATGAGACACCGCCTCATAGATTTTATAATTGCTTGATCTGAATCTAGAGTCACAGAGGACTAAACACTGGATCACGTGAGCTATGATAAGAGGCTGTGGGGACCAGCCTTGAGGGAAAGGTTATGAAACATTGTCATATACAACTAGAGATAGGGTACAAAGGAGGGCAAGTCTTCTCTCCTGTTGGGTTCCTGTGGCTTAAAATAGATGGGAATGGGACAGCCAGGTCCATCTCTGATAGGCCTTTGCTGTTTGATAAAAAAGCAAGTGATGAAGGCAGACCAAATGATGGAGGCATTATTGAGGTCCAGAGGACCAATGATGGGGGCATTATTTAGGTCCAGACTGACCTCTGCACAGATCAGAGTTATAGTTGCTGCCTGTGGGATGGAGATAAAGTTTGGATGTGGATATACAGGCAGAAATAAGTGTAAATATGGAAAACCAGGTGGAAATTCTAATACTTAATAAAAAATTTCAAGAATGTATGTGCGATATAGTATTTTTAAAATGTTGTCCTAATCTTTTTTTTTTTCCAAACCGTAAGTCTCTGATTTTTAACATAACCAGTTTTTTGTTAGGGCAAATATACATAGAATGTTTACATGTGAGGGTGACTCTTTTCATTTGTTTTTGTTCATGTTCATATATGTCATAAAAATTCAGTTAACCTTAACTTATCATTGAGCTCTTGTTCTTAAAAATCTGAAAATATTTCAGAAACATTTAAAAGCCCTTGGTATTTAAAAGAAATTATTTTACTTAACTGTGTATAATGTATCTTTCTTTTAGACTATTTTATAATAAAATATTTATGATTTTTATGACCTAGAGCAAGGACTCAGTGAGATGAGTTATAGCTACAGCTTCTGATCAAAACGATACATCTAGTTAGTGTGAACCTTAAGCCCGCCCTACGTGCACCATGGTGCTTTAGTACTCTGTTTAAAGTTACAGTGAGTCAATGAAGAACCCCATCCATTACGTAGCACTCTCATGGTGGTACGTATGACTAGAGCAGGCCATAAATCAGCCATAATAACAGTTGCCAAGAGTTCATCCTTCCTTGATCTGATATTATCCTTTACTTATATTTCCTGCTGATTCTTCCTGTTACAAGATATCTTTCTGTAAAAATTTGATGTAATAGTGGTAACCTGAATGCATGTTGTTTCTTTAAATTTCCCTCTCACTTTTGCCAAGTAGCAGACGTCTTGATACGCAGCTTTCTGGTGGCTGTACTTCCCAGAGATCAACTATGACAGTGATAATCTTTGATAGGCAGCCTAAGTCTCATATTTATATCACATGACCAGTTGATGTCTCTAACTGTAAATCTGTTCTTCCCACCTAAGTCCATTTGTAAACATGTGTGAAAATTGTGATGTTTTATGGATCCTCAAATATTGTATCAGGTACAGTTTGCAGACATACGAGTATTTTTGATTGGTTACTCCCTAAAATTCTATAATTTTGTTGGTCCTCAAAAAGTTATAAATAATAACTAAGAAGAATGTACATAACTATATGTCTTCTCTGGAACAGTGGACTTAATAGTTACATTAGGTTGGGATATAGAAAGAAGTTGAGAAAATTCATCTAAAAGTTTGCCTTTCACTTTTATACTCCTCTGTAGTCTCAGAGGTATATTCCCCTAATTATATTTCTTGAATAGTCAGAGAGAGATTTGTTTGAAGAGGAACTAACTCTTGGCACAATTATTGACAGCAGGTGCCTAGTCTATTGTGGAAAGATTTTAAAAGGTGAAAAAGATTGAAGGACTAGTGAAGTTGCTAGTAATGTGTCCATTTTCTGTTTCATGATCAAGTGTTTTAGATCTAACAATTTGGGGGGATAACCAGGAAAACTGCGCTTTGCCTTCCCTCTGATTTCATGAGTTCATCCTCTATGTAAAGCAAGTGGAAGCTCATCCCACTGGCTTCATCCAAATACTCAATTTAAAAAGAATCTGTAAGCCAAAGGGATCTCAAAAGCTTTTCCTGTGAGCTGGGAACATAATAGCATCTCGGGTACTATTAATTCCCCTGAATATCCTGTCCTAGGGCACTTGCCTCCTTCGTTCTCTCTTACCCCAAGCAGCCAGCCGCATAACTAAGGTATGAAGACTAATGAGTAGATGAGAGCCTAAACCAAGAGATGCCATTACTCAGGGCTCTGTGTGACCTGAGCTGGAGTAGTCACCTGAAAGGTAATTGAAAGCATGTACCTGCATCAGTCAAGGAGTGCTGTGTTCTAATGTTGGCTCTGCATTTACACTTACACATTCTCCTAGAAGGCAGTGTTTATGACTTCAGGTAAATATGGCCCATGTTTGAGGGCTTAGAGACTATCATATCACGATAGTTTTACAAACACACTTGTTGTTTTTTTTTCTCTTTATCCTTTTGCATTTTTTAACAAAACATTTAAGGAAAATGTAATATGCCTATGTGCAACTGTTGAGATGTCTTGTTTGGCTTTCTTTCCTTGTTTTTCTCTTTGAAGTAAATTAGTGTGTTTATCCTCATCTGTATTTATTATTATTGCTATTAAATGACAGATTGGTTATTAAAACAATACCTTGCAGTAAGTAAGTAAACTGTTTTTTTGTTGAAGCCAATCAAAACCTGTGGTTTTAATGAGACAGCGAACTGTTTATGCTTAGCATTTTTGTCACACACAAGAAGAAAAATATATTGCCTTATTTGCAACAACTATACTGAGAGGAGACCAGTGTGAATTATATTTTTTATGGAAACATAGACTTTGGGCACAGATTTTAAGTACATATCTTCATTTGTTTTAGTGAATAAAACATTTAAATTTTAAATAAAGGACATTTATTAACCTGTCCCTATGCTAATAAAAATCTTTAAAACTTTTTCATGTAGCAGTAACAATAATAGCACATTTTAAGTCTCATTTTAAAAGAAAAAATATTTCAAAATTCAGGCAAAAAGGGAGGAAGGGAGATGGAGTGATAATCCTATCATCCAGTATTAATGTTAACCTGTATATTGAATAATTTATTAATATCTCAGGTTTTTAAAAAATGTGTTCACAAGTTTGAGGAGTGTATTTTTTTCATAGTTAAAATCAAGCCACTTTTACAGTTTTGTAGCCTGATCAAGCCTTTTCTTTATCACGTTAATGATACCTGTAGCCACACTCAAGCCACAAGTTATCACAAATTTTGAATTGGTAAGAATGAGAAATGAGGAGGGATCCTGGGTTGATCCTCCTCCACCCCCCACTCCCCTCCCCGGACATCTGCATAAAGCAAACAGCCCCTCCCTTTAGGAAAGAAGAGAATGAAGATGAGATCTTTGTTAACCTGTGCTAGTCACCTGCTCTCAGCCCAGAGTAGTCATGCGATTGCATATCCTTTGCATTACTCTATTACGACTGTGTGGCATGTATTTTTAATGAAGGAATTTAAAATACCATTATTGCTGTAAAGATTAGTGTCTGCATGATTTTTCTGTCTCTTGGCTTCTTTTCCATGCATAGCACTAATAGATGAAGCAGAACAGGTGGTAATTGCCATTGGCGCGGTGAGACTTGTGAATAGCATCTGTTTATGTCTCTTTTACCGTCCAATGGTTAGCATAACCTCTTCAGTGCTCTCCTATGTGTATGATAACAGTCTGTCATCAGTCATTATAAGGTGCTAATTTACACTTTTTCTAGCATAATGGAATAGGTGAAGAAGAAAGTCCATCTGGTGACTAAATATGACTATGATTGGAATCAAATAATTAAAAAGGTATAATACTTGTGAGGTTATTATGGAATATTGCATCAGATAATATGTCGAAGACAACCATTTCAAGCCAGAGCAGTTCCATAAATAGACATATTAGTAATGTTATAGTCTGGGTTTTGGTTTTAACATTTAAAAGTTGTTTACTGTTTTATACAGTAAAACACTCAAATTCTTCTGGTCTTCATCGTCCTTGTAATTGGTTTTCTTAAGTTTACTTTTAAATGTCACAGTGTGGTATTTATATGTGTTGACATAAGTACATGCTTTTAAAAAAACATTTTGTTATGGAAAAAATAGAGAATTGTATAATGAACTTTCATGTTCCCAGCACTCAGCGTATTTCCTTCTCCCCACCAGTTTCCCTTCTCCCATAGCCATTTTGAAGCAAATTCCAGACATATCATCTGTAAATATTTCAGAGCGTATCTCTAGAAGTTAAGGACTTTCTTTTAAAAGCATAACTATAATACCATCTTTACACGTCCCTTAAAAAAAATATCATGGCCGGCCGAATGGCTCAGTTGGTTAAGAGCTTGCTCAAGAGTGTGACCTCTGAGCAACAGGGTCGCTGGTTTGCTTCCCGGCCCGAGCTGAGCTGCTGCTGAGCTGCCAACAGATGGCAAGATGGCTCAGCTAAAAAAAAAAAAAAAATCAAATATCCAGTTGGTATTTACAGGGACTCAATTGCGCTATGACTTTTTAAGTGATTTGCTTAATCCAGATCTAAAAATATCACTGCGGCATGATTTTGTTTCTTTGAAATTTTTTGGTTGAAGATATTAGATTATTTTCCTACAGACCTTCCATAGTCTGGATTTTGCTAATTGTATCCGCATGCTGTCATTTAACACATTCTGTGTTTTTTCTTGTGTTAATTATATATTCCTGTGTAATAAAACTTATGTGTGCCTGAAAACTTAGCAGCTTAAAACAACAATTTACTGCACATAGTTTCTGTTGGTCAGGAATTCAGAAGTGGCTTACCTGAGTGGTTATGGCTCAGGGTCTGTCATGAGGTTGCATTCAAACTGTAAGCTGGGACTGTAGGGATCTAAAAGCTTGACTAGGGCTGAAGGATCCTCTCCAGGATGGCTCACTCACATGACTGTATCCTGGTGGCCTCGGTTCCTCACCATGCGGACCTCTCCAGACAGCTGCTTGAGGCTCCTCACATGTCAGCTGGCTACCCCCTGAGCAAGTGATCTTAGAGACAGAGCACGGTGGATGCTCCAGTGCCTTTTATGGTGTATTGTTGGAAGGCACTATCGTTTCCAACACATTCTGTTAGAAGCGCATCCCAAAGTACAGGCTATACTCAATCACGGAGAGAGAAATTAAGCTCCACCTTTTGAAGGGCGGTGTATCAAAGAATTCGTAGACTTCTTTTTAAGCCACCGCATTTTTATTTCCTGTAAATTGGTAGTCAGATGTAGACAAGTTTTCCTGGCTGCATAGTTTGTAGGGCCCCATGCAAAATAAAAATGGGGAACCCCTGTTCAAATTTCAAGATGGGGGCAGCAGAGTATTAAACCAAACATGGGGCTGTTCTGAGCACAGAGCTCTGTGACTATACAGATGATACCCATGAAACCAGCCCTGCGTGAAAAGGCCTGATCAGATTCAGACTTCAGACTTCTTTTTCTCATATACTGCTTCATCTCCCCTAGTGATGTTAGCAGCCAGTGATGATCATTAACTACATCTATTAGTTCATTATAGTTTTATTTAATAGCTGTAGTACTTTCAAAACGAAAACTTCCCTTAATTAACTATGCCTAGTATATATAGGAAAAATTATAAAATGTTTCATTCTTTTGGATAATGAATTGATTCTCTAATATCCTTGGTGGATGATCAATACCTTTTTTAGTATTAACAGATTTTTTATATGTTCTAACCCATTTTAGTCAAGACCCTTAGTGATATTCAAATTGTCCCATCTTTAGCTAGCATTTAATAGTCTGATAGCTTTTTTTTTGTTTTCTGGTAATAAGAGATTCCAGGTTTATCTTGTATTTTCTTTCCTCAGACCTGGAATCAGCCATTTTCCCAAAGAGCTTCTTTTACTTTTTTAGAAATGGTATTATATAGACTATATTACACATTACACACACACACACACACACACACACACACACACACACACACACACCTCGACATTAGGGGTTTTCACCTCTCCTGGTTTGACCATTGTTCAGTTAACAGCTAAGAAGTATATAGTAACTCTGTTCATATTGATAGTTTAAATTCAAGACTACACTTTTAAAATTCAACTTCATACCATTTCTTCCCTTCCTATATACATATATACACAAATGCTCTTTGTAAACAACAGAAACACAATGTCTTTCTCACATCTAACAATTCCTTAGTAATTGCCAAATATCCAATCAATGTTCAACTTTCCCTCATTTTCTCATAATTTTTTAAATAACTTGTTTGAACTAGAATCCAATTAAATTCCATATATCACAGTCAGTTAATGTGTCTTTTAATCTCAAAAAATCTATAGGTCTTTCCAACATTTTAAAGGGCCTACTTTGTACAAGGGCTACAAAGTTTGTAAAGGAAGATAGATAGCCTGAAATTACTTACTAGGAAAGAGATATGCATACACAATGACTATGGAACAAAGTATAATGTGATAGGAGTTGAATGAATAAATTATTGGGAGATTTGAGAAAAGGAAGAGAATACTCTTATGATCCTCAGGTCATGACTGTGGTGTTCAGAGAGGCCTATGCAGGACAAAAAAACAGAAATAAAGAATGGAAACCTCTACCAGGTCCCAAAGGACTTCACAGATAAGAGACTGGTGAGCCAAAGGAATAAAATACCTATTTTTGGGGTTTTTTCCATTTGCCTTAGAACAACTCCACTTGAGATTATTATTGCTCCTTGCAGCCAATTTGAGCTTTCATTCTCACAAGTCATTTGTTCTTCATCTGCAAAAGCTCCTAAAATAATTTACATCACAAACTCTCCAAATTACTGAGGAGTCCTTTAAAATTGAGATTTTTCTCTGGGAGAAATGGATGTGAGAGAGTTTATCATAGCTAGAGTAACCATAAATATTTTAAGTGTGATTGATTCAGACAGAGAGGGGGAAAACCTCAGCGGAAGGAATTTTTGCCCATTCAGTATCAGTGGTGCAATTTGGTAGGCAATACAAGATCAGAATCAAGCTTTATTGTTCCTGTTGGCAAAAAAAAAAATACAAATAATACTGGTCTTAGCAATCCTTCGACTATCTCTCCAGAATGCTTATAAATCTAAATGAGATGCTTTTAACTGGTTCAGAGGGCAATTTAGTCATTTTGTTCTATTTTAATCCCCCAAAGACCCACTGCAAGAAATAGGGGATATTTATGACCTGTGACTAATACCTAGTAATGATGATGGACAATGACTTTTGTCATTTAAGAGCTACTTGAGGAAGAACAAAGACCTTCAGTGATCAATAGGGCATTTAAAAAATCTAATAAACTGCTATTACTGCTTTAGTAATAAAAATGTAATGGCTTATTAGACATAAAAATTGCATGAAATTTATTTAAAGACAATTTTGGGGACAGAATGGGAGATTTACACATGTAATTATCCTGTTGATCAAGGTGAAAATGAATAACTTGCTTTTAGTAAAAAATGCAAGAGGGCATGCTTACATTATTCTTTTTATGTGTTATGAGCCTTAGGAAGATTTAGATGTTGGCCGTGGCTGCAATTTCAGAGCAGTTATTTATGGTGATAGTTTTTTTTTTGCATATTGTTCAAATAGATTGGCTTCCAAGGAGTTTGGAGAGGAGGAGATGGGTGCAGAACTCAAGAGCACTGAAAGTCAGACAACCATTTCTTGGCAAGCCTAATTAATAGCATATTATCTAGGTAATTTGAATAGTCAGAACTTCTTTCCAGGATCTGGGTCAGCCACACACTCGCTGGCTGGCACTTTAATTTTATCCACAGGGCAGAATTTTGCTGACTCATTAATTCATTTTTCTAATGTCATATCCACCATACCCCAAAAAAAAAAAAATTGAAATTGCCTAACTACCCAAAAGTTGCTATTTTCTTCTTTATAGACTATTCAATATAAATAACTGATATTTGAATTAGTTATCTATTGGTGCATAAACAAATTGCCACAAATTTCGTGCCTTAAAACAACACACATTTATTATCTCACAGTTTCTGTGGGTCTGGAGTCTGGCCATGGGTTAGCTGGGTCCTTTGCTTCAGAGTCTCATGAGTTTGCTATCAAAGTATCAGCGAGGGTTAGGGTCTCGATTTAATAGCATGACTGGAAATGGATTTGCTTCCAAGCTCATGTGGTTGTCAGCAAGATTTAGTTCCTTGCAGCCTGTTGGACCAAGGGCCTCAGCTTTTTGCTGGCTGTTGGCCAGAGGCCATTTTAAATTTTAGTTAGCTGTTGGCCAGAGGCCACACTCAGTTCCTTGCCACATGGGTCTCCCTAACATAACTTCTTGCTTCATCAAAGTGTGCAAGGCAAGAAGGCAATAGAGAGAGTCTACTAGCAAGACAAAAGCCACCATTATGTAACTTAATCACGAGAGGGCCAACTTTTGCCATCTTCTATTGTTCAGAAGCAGTCACAGGTCACATACACTAAATGGGAGGGGATTACACAGGTGTGATCACCAGGGGGCCAGAACAACTGGGGGCTATTTTAGAGTCTGTCTGCCACAATATTATTTTATTAATATGAAAAGATACGTTCTTTTAGAAAATGTAAGCAGTATGGATAAGGTTTTAAAAATCTTACAATCTTACCACCCAGAGATAAAAACCATTATTTCAGTACATATTTTCCCAGTCTCTTTTTCTATTTTATATATGATATAACAAAAATGGCCATATCTTGGCATACTCTTGTATGATTTTTCTCATTTAATTCCTTAGGCATTCGTGTTAGCTAGTAAAGCCACTTTAAATGGCAGCATAAATTTATCCTATGATTAAGCCATGGTTCTTTTAACCCGGAGGCTGGGAAACTTTTATGCAAAGAGAAAGATAGTAAATATTTTAGGACTGGGGACAATCCAGTTTGTTGCAACTACCCAACTCTGCTGATACAGGACAAAAACACCCATTGGTAATACGTCAATGAGTGGGTGTGGCTGTGTTCTAGTAAAACTTTATTTATGGACACTGAAACTTAAATTTCATATATTGTGTGTCATAAAATATTATTCTTTTGATGTATTTCAATCATGTAAAAATGTCAAAACTATTCTTAGCTCACAGGCTGGATGGAAAAAGGTGGTGGGTTGGATTTGGTCAGTGTGTCATAGT